ATAGACGGCCACGTTCCTCCATCTAGTGCGGAGATCATGGATGTTGGGGGTATCCCCCCAAACCTGAATAAGGTCCATGATCTCCTCCCTGAACCAGGAAGGCGCCCGCCTTCTCCAGGCTCTGGCAGGCTCCTGGGAGCTGGCAGACTGCTCCTGGGGAGTAGTGAAGGGCTGGCTGCCAGTGGCTTTCTGGCTCATGTTTTGGGGCCACTTGGTCAGGGACAGTGACTGCTGGCTCTGGGCTAGCAAGCTTGGAGCTGGCACAGGCACTGTGGCCAGAGTCTATCCCTTTAAGGGCTATGGGGAGGGGGGAAGGGAGTAGAGTGTTCTTGGTTGAGACTGGAGTAGCCACCAGGGCACCCTGGGAAGGCTGGAAGCCCCCTATTTTGAAATAAGTGTCTACACAGCATTTCTTTCAAAATAGTTATTACGAATTTGGTGTTATTCCTCATAGAATGAGGTTTACAAATTCGAAATAAGCGCGCCGCTATTTCGAATTTATTTTGAAATAGCGGTTTGGCTGTGTAGATACTAGGAAAGTGATTTCGAAATAAGGGCTGTTATTTGAAATAACTTTGCTGTGTAGACATACCCTGAGGCAAATGCCACCCGCTGGAGTCCAAACTTCCAATTGCATTCCAATCCCCTGCCATAGGTTAGTATCCTCTCCTGCATCCTAATTCCTTTTCAAAGCTTGCATGTCAACCCCCTGCTGCAGCACTGAGTCTAGTTCCTCACGCCATACGCCTTGGCCCCAACATGGAGGCCCCTTCTACACACCAAACCACATATCCCCAGTCTCATGCTGGAGTCCACATGCCCAAGGTAGAACCCACACCCCCTTCTGCACCCAAGCCCTCTCCTATACCTTGAACCTTTCCTTTTTGGTCTCCCCCGGGAGCCCACTCTTCCTGCTGGAGCACCCACCCTCCTCCCACAACCCTACCATCTGCCCCAGACCAGTCAAAATAAATGAGAGTGGGGGAGAGTTAGCAACAGAAGGAGGGGCCTGGAGTAAGTAGGGCAGAGGCTCAGAGACGGTGCAGGGTAGGGCCTTGGGGCAGTGGTGGGGCAAGGGTGTTTGGTTTTATGCAATTAGGAAGCTGGCAAGCCTAGCACACTTGCATGCATAATAAAACTGTCCTAAGGTGTGCATTTTGAGGGTTTACTAAAAAATTCTACTGTTCATGCTTACTACATGAATTACAAAAATAGGGCCTAATTTTGCAGCTTGATCTGCTTGTATAGCATCTAGCTCAGCTCCATATAGGTGCAAAGATCCATTCACGTAGATCAGATTGCAGGACCTCTTGAATCCACATTGGTTTCCCTTGGAACAATGAAAGGCAATGCTCCACAAACAAACAAACAGCCATTTCCATCCAAAATTTCATCTTTTAAATCTCAATCATGTGGACTGTAGGCCAGTCTCATACATGAAATGAGAAGTGTCATTTCCCCACTTTCCTCGTATATAAAAGCAGTGGAACTATAACTGCTCTAACTTAAAACAAAAAACAAAAAAAACTGTCATGCATAAAATAAGCACAAGCATGTTCAGTATGTTACATGTGAGTGAAAACAGTTTAGTATTAGAATGGAAACTGTTGCATAACCTTAACTCCAGCAGCTTTTCACTATAATAAAGCAGAAAACTTCTGGATTTTGTGAGAGATATGGATGTTGTTAGTAAAACAATAGTATAACCGTACTAAAAATTTTAGATTTTATTAAAAAGCGTATAAATCTTGAAACTACAGAAACAACATTTCCTTCTAACTTAAAGCATGATATTGTAAAACAGTTTTTTCTAATGACAATGTTTCTGCATGCCATGTACTTTAGTCTACAGTAATTGTCTTAGTCCCACATGTCATACAAATAAAAGGCAAAGCACCAAACTGTAAAGATGCTATTAACCTTGTATGATTATTTGTGTTGTAGCAGTGTCCCAGATGTCTCTACTATCTATGTATTGTAAACATGTGTGTGGACATGGTCACTACCAGAAAGAGATTACAATCTAATTTGAAACAAGACACAAGTGTAATAAGATCACAAAGATAGGACAGCAGCAGATCTCACCTTTTCCTTCTTTTCCCCCAGGATGAATCTTTTTGAGCACTCAGAGAAAAAAGGGAAGCTAGGAATTTTATTTTAGTTCTATTAACAAGAATAAAACAAAATAAAAAAAACACACCCAAACTACTCCGATAGTTCAACTGAAGCCGCATACACTATGAACAATATTAAAATTAGCAACAAACTAAAGATTGGTGTATCTGAGACAAAGGAACGTCACTGGCAGATGACAATTCTAGTTTATAGAAACTAATTTGGAACTCTCAGACTGGGATGTTTCAGTTTGTATTCACCATGAGCTGTTTTCCTCCTGTCCCCACCCCAACTCTGAGATCCCTCTTTCTGATCACCATCTTCATTATTTCTCATTTGCTCTCAGCCAACTGTTAATGCCACGCTTACAAAGCTTTCAGTCTATTAAACATTCTGACTTCTCTACAACTTCCATTTCTTCTTTGTGTAATTACATTCTGATTAACCTAACAACTGTCTCTCCATCAGCACTTCCTGGGCCAAGGTCAGATGGCGCACAAATTATGGTATAAATTATTCCTTGATAAGTGTTAGGTGGTGTAATCTACACATTGACGGTGTTGCATTAAGAAATGAGAGTTAAATGAAGGTGTAAGATAAAGCAGAGCCTCTCAGACATGTTTCCAGTAAGAAATAATGTCTTCTATGTGTATACGTAATTTGCATTCACTATCAGTTACCAATGTGCAATTTACACCAATTATAGCCTGGCATGGGCTCTGAATTTGGCAAGATACCATTGTTCCTCTTCTCTGCCTCTCAAAGTCCTCCGTAATCCTAACTCTCTCCCTGTCTCACCAGCTCTAGTCCTGCTTACACTATAGTGAGCATTGCTGAAGACAATCTTGTTCTTTCACAGACTACCTATACATTTGTCCTTCCTATGTTCAGCTGGCTAAACAAGACAACCCTCACTTAGTCCTAAAGTCTTAACATTGCTTCTGTATTCCATCCCCTTCCTTGAACTTGCTATGGCCTCCTTTCCACCCAAAAGTTCAGAGTTTCAGGGACAAAATAATATAATTATCCATCTTCCCTTCTTTTCCTTCCTTCCTCTATTTATCATAATTCACGCCTTTCTCTGAAACCTATTCTTTCTAGCTGTCCACCACTAGTCTCATGATATGTGATCTTAAGTGTGATCTCTCAATTGTTGGTCAATAACAGAGAAACATCCAAAAACAGAGACAGAATCAGTGCCTATCACTGGAGTAAATTGATAAAGCCAGGAATCAGGAGCTGGAATTTATGAATATTAACAATCCAAGCGCTCTCTGCTACTCAAGGTATAGTACAGAATTATTAGTAATGCTCCATATTATTTTTTCCTGAGATCTGGGATAAGACCACTTAGGTGGAATAAACTGACAGTCACTTCCAAATCTAAAAGTAATGGTATTGCCACAAAATAAATGATGTAAGCTGATGATCTCCTGCCAGGTGGAAAAATAATAATAATTGAATGACTCTATTCTTCTTTGCTGGACTTAAGAGATATGACTACCAGGAAGAACAGGAAGTTCCAGAAGATATTTAGATAGTTCTAAAAATAGCAGGAGCTGCCTAAAGAAAGAGCCCAACGTTAGTCAAGCCATATTTCCACTGCTATTGAATGACAAAAATTCTATGTCCTTCTCTATGAGGTGGACTCTAGCTAGAACACTGAGAAAGGAGTAGGACTGGTTTCAACATAAAGACCACTTCATCTGATAATGTTTCTTGACAGAAAAGGAATATCTAAATCTGATAGGGACTCTGGGGAAATGGAAAATTAGGGCTTTTCATAGGCTCAGGTGTTAATCCTATTTTCAATAAGACATTTTGAAATTGGAAATAGTTATCCCCTAAAGATGTTTTTCACAGTAGGAGAGGATCAGGACTTTCAATTTTGCAGAAAACCCATCTCCCTTGCTATGGATGGGTATCTGTAATGTAGGTTCAGAGACAGAATGAGTCTTAAGTCACATTATGGAATAAAGTCACAAGTTGGCACCTGCAGTGTGGACTTTGATGCTGTCCTCTTAGGGGTGCTAAGGGTTCACTAAACTGCTGTCTTTTATAACATTTTGGCAACATTTCTATAATTTATCATTTCTATAATTTATTCAAATCTCATAGAACAGAAATGCCACATAACATCAGCCACATAAAGAACATTTTAAAGAAATCAATCTATTCTACATTCTTTTCTAGGTAAAATCAAATAACAGAATTCAATAGGTAAGGAGGGTTTGCTAACCCAGGGGAGCTACTGCTAAGTAGACTTCAGGGACTGAGGACCAAGATTTTATCTTAGCGCTGGGGATCCTGGGCATATGACTAGACCATGCACATGATATCTAGTGCTAGCAAGGTGTTCTGAATGAGGGCTAAAATAGACAGTCACAGTGAAATTCATTGTCAAAACTCCCTTCCTTACAAATGAGGAGGAAATTCCCTTTAGATAATGGCCAACATAAGCTAGTGAAGTTTACTTTTGAGAAGTTTGGCAATAGCTTTACATTAAAAAAAAAAAAAACCCTCTAATAATCAGAATCTACTTCTTTTAATTTCCCCAGAGTTTAAAGAAATTCTTGCTGTCCTGAGAAATAAGGAATGAACAAAATATTTTCACACGTTCCTAGAATGCCCAGTCGTTCATTATGAGAGTCTCAATTAACAGTAGACAGAATGGGATTAGCTCGTGGACAGCACTGGTTGAAGCCCTACGCACTGCAGCAGGCATTAGGTCTTAGGTGCCAAAGACACAGTGTGGAAGGATACCTCTGAGCTGTAGCTTTAACAAAGGCTTTAGAAGAAGTAAAATAAGACCAGGCATGAAAAATTGCAGTAAACCTACATACTCAACATAAATTGAAGAATAGAATAGAGACAGAACATCCTACCTCTTCTGGATGTTTCTGTGCCACCGCTACCTGCTCTTCAGAGCTGCTTCTTGAGGAAGAGGGTGCCACATTACCTGGGGCCTCTGAGACTACTTCAATTGATGGTTCGGAGTCCTGAGAGCAACAGAGACAAATAGACCCCTCAGAAGTGTATTGAAGTGGTACTCCACAAAAGAGAGGGTGTTTTAGTGGTACTTTGGTCTGCATACAGGCATGGAAGCCAGGAACTTCTAAATCTTAACTTTCGAACCTGGACAAGTCAGTTTTTTCATCTGTAAAATGGGGGTATCACATATCTTCCACTAATTGTGAGAATTAGTAAATGTTTGTACAATATTTGAAGATATACAATTCCATATTACTACTACTATTGTTTTATCTACTCTTCCTCCTTCCCTTCCATTCCTTTCACGTGGAAAGAAATTTTTTTTTTCTGACTTGAATCATCTGAGCCTTGATTCTGCAATCAAATGCAAACGAGATAGAACAAGAAATGGAAAATGAGACACTGCTTAACAAATTAGATACTGGAATACTTTCTAACTATAAGGATAGTTAAGTACTGAAATAGATTACCAACGGAAGTTGTGGAATTCTTATCATAGGAGGCCTTTAAGAAGAGGACCTAACATCCATCAGAGATGTTCTAGGTATCTTTGGTCATGTCTCAGTGCAGGGGCTTGGACAGGACGACATCTCAAAGTCCTTTCTTATGATTCTGTGATTGCCATGTATGCACCATACTCCCTTTTGTGTGCTTTTCCTGTTACTCATCAGTGTGCAGGTTAAAAATTGCACATCAACTACACCCCAAATCAGAGTAAGTTACACTACTTTATCACTTTTAACTACAGTGTAATTTATACCACTTTTATGTCACTACTAAGTTTGATGCAAAAATTACATGGGAGCTGTGGTTCATGTATGTGAAGTTGGAATTTTTCCTAGTAGAATATGACAGGTGTACCAGAAAAGAAAATCTGATCCATTTCATTTTTTCCTTTGTTTTCAATGAATACTCCCAAATCTAGCACCAGATTCAATAAACATATCACTTACTGTATAGTACATGTCATCCAACCCATAAGCAAATCTGTTTTTTGTCTCACTGAACACTGATGTAGAACATAAAACTATGCAATGATCTTATTGAATCTGTCCATCAGCTGCTTTAACAATACTGAATTATTATTAGTGAATCCATAAGTGGCACATTAAAAACAGAAAGATTTTGAAAATATAAAATAGAAAGATAAAACATGTTAAAATACAAAAATTTCAAACGTGTCAAAACGATGTGAGTATCACATTTTATCCATTCAACAGTCTCAGGATAATCAGCACATAACCTGAGGTGAGCAGTCATTTTAGTAGATGTCCGGATACTCAATTGCTGCTATAAAGGGCTGTTCTTGAGTGGTCATCTGCCACATATCTCATCGACCCACATCTGAAACAGTTAAGCCTGCATCCGAATAGAGATTTTTACAGACCAAGCAGCTTATTCCCATTCTGTTTTCCACAATACAGCAGCATCGTCCATAAACTTAGTATTGTAGTCTATATAGGCCTTTCTCTGATGTGTCAGTGGCAAGACATTTCCTATATATATATCTAAAAAGTGAAAGTTGTGGTATTTTCTGGATTTTGGCAAGGAGGTTTTTTTGCTGCAATACAACCCTGGATGTTAGGAGTCAGGATATCAGAGAGGACTGGTAGTCAATGAACCTTTTTTGTGTGTATGCTAATAGCCATATTGTTATTCTCATTGTTTGATTCAATTATATGTCAACTAATTCTATGTGGGGAACTTAACCACATGGGACCACAGTACTCTTCATCTGAGCAATGATCTAGCACTGAATTACACAGTGTTTGCACAATAGTCTCCTCAGTTAAGACCCATCCCATGCTTATTTAAGAGGATGTTTCTTGATGTAGTCTTCTGATTAATCTTGATGAAATGGTCCTCGTGGGTGAGAATACCAAATAGAGTTATTCCTACATGTATAGGCTTTGGGTTATGTGTCTGTCATTCTCCATTCAAGAAAATAATGAGCTCTCAGTGTCTTGGCGTGGTTGAGATGGAAGCCTGACAACATTGTATTTGATTCATTGGACTTAGGTCTCCAATTCTTACATTAGCTACTGGTTGTTGCCATATTTTGCTTCAGAATGTCCTCAAACTTTTTGAAATATCTTTCTCTTGAAGCAAATTATATGCAATCTGCATACTTGAAAGGCCTTGAAGTTGCTGAAGCGGGTCATCTACTACACATTTGAGAGAGTTTGTCTGTCTCTGTTCATGAACTCCTCCTAACAGTAAGAGCTAGGACCACCAAATCCAGTATACAGCTTCCTCTTATCATAAGATAAGGTAAGGGTTTGGTTGTTCCAGGAAAATGGCACGTGTCTTGAAACAAAGTACAGTAAAACTCCGATGGTCCGGCCTCTGACGGTCCGGCACTCCTGATGGTCCGGCACCATCAGGAACCCGGAAGTGCTCCGGGCAGCCGGACCATTGGAGCTGCTCTGCCCCCAGCTTCCCCAATTCAGCCGCTGCTAAAACTGACCAGCGCTGAATCCGGGAAGCAGGGGGCAGAACAGCTGGAGTGCTGCCGGGTAGGTCCAGTAGCGCTGCCCCTCGGGGCTGCGGGACCAACCCAGCAGCACCCCAGCTGTCCCGGATTCAGCCGCTGCTGAAATTGACCAGCGGCTGACTCCAGGAAGCCCGAGACAGAGCTGCTCAGCCCCAGCTTCCTGGAATCAGCCGCTGGTCAGTTTCAGCAGCAGCTGACTTGGGTACACCTGGGACAGAGCAGCTGGGGTGCTGACGGGTTGGTCTTGCTGCACCAAGGGGCGGCACTACCGGACCAACCCAGCAGCACCCCAGCTGCTAGCTGCTGCTGAAACTGACCAGCAGCGGCTGAATCGGGGACTCCTGGGGCAGAGCCGGACTATCAGAAGGGAGGGCTATGAGGGGGTCTGGGGTAGCATCCCCCCACCCCACCCCAGACCCCTCATAGCCCCCCCTTCTGATAGTCCATCACCCCCTGGGTCCTAAAGGTGCCGGATTATCGGAAGCTTACTGTATATGATATTTGTATACTTGAAAGGCCTTGAAATTGTTGGAGGCAGACAATTCATAAATATATTGGGGAAAAAAATCAGAGAAAGAACATATCTCTGAATGAGTCTGTTTTCCTGAGTTCTTCAGCTTCCTTAACTGTGGGATGGTATTCCAGGAAGAAGGTCTGCTAGGAAGAGATGGGCCACCAGGTGACCGTACTAGCTTTTGGCATGAGTGAGTCTGATTGACTGTTTGAATTTTAGTATGGAGATAGGGTACAAAAGTGGTGTGGGGGGGATTCCTGATTTTGATTTCAGCAATACCCTGACATCAGCACACACACCCTTCTCCCTCCCATACCCTGCATAGCAAGCAGGAGGCTCCCAGGGGAAGCTCTAAGGTAGAAAGTAGGAGCAGCACAAGAGTGGGTGGAGGGGCAATTGAAGTGCCAGTGCTTGATAGCTTCCTGGCCAAACCAGTCAGGATCACTTGTCAAAGGCTCCAAGATCTACCAGTAGATCCCAAACTATTGGCTGGTGACCACTGCTCTAAAGCAAGGATATCAAACAATGCACTCTTGGAAATTGCAAGCAGAGATGCTCATTACTGTCTTTCTCCAAGATAATGACCTCTAGAAAAAATAAATTAAAATTTTATGTTGACACAGCATTTGCAATTCAGCCCAATATATCTGTTTAAACTCCCTAAATATATATTCTAAAGGCAAGACATGAACAGTCTGAGACAAATACCCCATTCACATTTTTGCTCATAACCAGATCCTTTGTTATACTTTTGGAAAGGCTATTTATGTGTCGTAACTACCCTAAGGATTGCTTTCAATATTGTTCTCTGATTTTTTAAAAAAACCAGAGAGCAACATTATTCAGACCCTTCCTTATAACTAGAAAATAGAACATAAAAGAAAATTACATTGAGTATTTCTATAAATCTGTGGTAGCCCATTTAAAACTCATTTTCAGTTCCCTAGTTTGAGAAACAAGATCTGCCCATTCCAGAATTTGGATCATGGAATCTCAGAGGTGAACGAATGAATAGCAGGAGGTTGTGTATTGTTTTACTCTTCCTACCTCCTCCCCACCCCCCAACCCCAAGATTACAGAGCATAAGAGATGTCTTTAGGACTTTGCTCCAAGAATGCTCCTTCCTTTCCCCTCATTCTGCTAATGCTGGAGACCTGCTTTCTATCAAACATTCCTCTCGGCCACCAGTGGTTGGGATGACCCCATAACCTCCACTTGATCTTTTTAGCCCCAGCCTGGTTCAATAGAATCTGCTTCTCCATTCATTCTGCTCAGAGACAGTGCTAGCTATTAGGGACCCTAAGCAGGAATCTTCCCCTCCCCCCCCCCAAAAAAAACCCCCCCAAAACCCCCAAATAGGATGCTCCCTTGAGCTGCTCGGGGCCCTAAGCAATTTAGTCTGCTTATGCCTACTGATGACTTTGGTTCTGCTCAACCTGGCTACTGGCTAATTCTCTCCCAGTGGCTGTCTCTCAGGTGACCAGACTATGCCAAACTCTTGATTGTACTGGCAAGAGAATGCCTTGAAGTGCTGCTCTTGCTCGTCTCTTCTTTGAACACCAGAAAGCTAATCAGTGTAATTGCTAGTCAAGGAGTTTCCTCTTCTCCATTTTGGGAGAGAAGTGTTGGTGTTCTTTTCAGAGCTGTGTCTTTGGAGGATCAGTGACTGTTTGCAGCAGAAAGATCTATGCTATGAAGGAGAAAGGTGACAAGCAGCATCTGTTGGAGAAAGATGCTCTTCTGGGCAGGCTGCTTGCTTCAGGTTCCTAGATTTTTGCCTGTCATTTTCATCCAAACATATTATTTAATTAGGTTCCACCAAGTGTGGCCAGGTTAGCAATTATTATGCAAAATAATTATGAGATTATTACTAAGGAAGGTGAGGTAAAAATAATAAAGAATATGATTTAAAAACAGTGTCCTATAGCACTGAACAAGTTAAAATTATAACATATATGGGTAATATTAAAATTTCAGACTCCTATAGTTGAAACAATGTT